CCCATGGAGCTTCAATGTTGTACACTTTTCCAGTATCTTTTGATTTGAACTGATATTTGATCGTATCAGTTTCTGGCAAAGGAGTAAAGGAACCAGGACGAAACGTTATGTAATCAAGAGCACCATGCTGGCCACCATAATCATTGGCACCACCCGTTTTATCCTGGTTTAAGTTCCAATAGTCAACAAACGGCATACCATCAACAAGTAGTAATTCGTCGCCAAATTTGATTTGGTCATAGTCCTTTCCAAAAAAAGCACGCAACTCTTTATCTCCGGTGTGAGCTTCAAAAACAACGGTTGGTTTCTTGACCATATCTGCATCGCCCTCGATAAATTTGAAAGAAAGACCAGTCATGGCATTGAAACAAGAATATGGTCCAGATGGCTCAAAATGGGTATGATAGTCACGCCCAAGAATAAACGCATTCAAGAGTTCAATCTGCATCTCAGTATCGGTAAGATTGGATGCATCCAGTTTTGCACGCAGTTTCTTGATGATCGGGAAGGGATCGGCACGCTCACCATAGTGTTTGATTTTAGATTCATAGTTGGACCACAATTTCAAACCATTTTCAACATTGGTCAGCACGACGTTTCGTTGTTCGTCAGTGTATGGTATAAAAACAAATCTGCCAGCGTCACGGTGTTCCTTGATAAAGGCCCATTTAGGCATGGATTCTATAATGTATGCCAATTAGTACAGTTTTGAACGATTGCACAATCCAAACATTGATAAACCCAACATAAAATAGACTGATCAACAGATTTGCATACCAGATTTATTTCCTTGAGCATTGACAACGAACGCAACAGAAGCAATGGCTAGTAGTGAAAACTTCATCGTGACTGTAGTATACTATTGAAATGTATTTCGCAAGCGTATCAATACTATACGGATTGAGCTGTTGATTTGTAGCAGTCTGATGATGTTTGATAGTGGCTGACAACTCATTTTTATACCTTGATGGTCTTGACTGGCAATACTAATGCTTGATATTCTTGCATCCATATGCTTTGCATTGTTCTTACTAAAATGCTTGATGTCAAGCAAGATAACTGGATCGAGGTATATATTCAGGGTAGATAAAGCAACGAATTTGTAGATTAACCAATTTATCCATATTACCACACATGCCATGTCAATTGTATTTTACTATCCAACACAACATCCAACTCAAACTACTGTAAATCCAGTTCAATCAATATGATGACTAATGGTGTATTGACATTTGTCAATTATGCCAGTCCATATATCAAATATACAGAACACATTGGATTATCAATAGATAATCACTTGTCGGCTACAGCATTGCCAATATTTATGCTCATTTAATTTAGGGTCTAACACGTGGTGATTGCATAAACCCATTTAATGATCATGTCAATCATTACAATTGTCCGGCTTGCATGCTAATGGATTGCTTGTATACCACTATGGCTGTGTATGTTATATGTCAGTTATATCGAATAATTGAACGTAACAAAATGTGCTGTATTTATCCATACACTATCCAATCATCATAATTTGTTTTTTAGTAAATGGTTGTCAAGTATCTTGCTCAATTCTGCTGCTTGATCTGTATTTTTGAACTGGTTGCTTGGCTAGATATGCTATTTTGGGTTGATGAGTGCCAACCCTATGAGTTCTGTTTGGTCAGGGTTATCATGCAATTGATTTGCTGTTTGTGAGCAATGTGTTTGGATGGCAATACTTGTGTTTAAAACAGCCATTGTATAACATGTATTGACTCGAAAGCAAAATGGATCCACAAACTGTCTGGCATGTATTAGGTTTCCTTTGCGCAATATGTTGAACAGTTTGACTCTGATTCCCGGTTGTTTCAAATTGGCAAGTATAAGGCAGCCAATGCTCAGATCATAACTAGGCACCAGCATGAATCCAAGTGTCGAATACAGTTTAAAAGACCCCATTTTAAATGATTATGCAGCATCAAGATCTACACTATGCATGGCTTGATCAGCTACTCCTAAACCTGAATAACTATCGTATCTTTGATTGCATTACCAATGTCATGGACACCATACTCTTGAGTCATGTCAACATTCATGAATAATCATGTATGCTGTATAACACTGGATTACTATCGACTGAAACAACTTTTATACTCTGTTGTTGTACACGTTGGTTATTGATATATTGCACATGCTGATCTACCAAGTGATTAGTTCAATCCAGTATACTGACGACAAATGGAATCCAATACAAGATAGTGAGCATTGATAAATGTAATATTTGACAGTATAACCGAGCCTTTGTGCTTGGATGAAACAAACCACAATATAATCAATAATAATACCAACCAAGATTAGCAGATTGGACTAGTGTATAAAACAGTGTTGGCTGGATTGAATTGATGATTTATTTGTTGATTTACAGTTATTTTTTGAATGGATTTATTTAAAATAAACTCGGGTATTGAGATATGAAATGATCTCATGTGAACAGGCTGTAATCGTACAAGCATATACTGTTGGTGTTACAAGTTTATTGGTAAACTGTTGTATGGCAGTCCCAGTGATGGTGTCAAAACAGTGTCTGTTACCAATGGTACGCTACCAGCACAAAGTCGATTGATCGAACAGTCAGTATTCTATGTACTTTCCAACTCTCTTTGGCTATAAACCAACTCTATTGTCTTTGCTTAATAAACAACATAATCTAACATTGGTTCATTCCTTTATCTTTTACTTGCTGTGATTTACTTTTCGACTATGAACCACATTGATATGTCATCATTTGTCTGCGAGGTACAATTTTGATACTAGTACTATATAGTAGCATATCTACCACACCAAGTTTGGCACATGCAAAGCAAACTGATTGGCAAGACAATGACTTTGTATAGCTATAAAATCATGAATGGCGAATATGCAATTCAATCTGATGCAACTTTACTTGTCGAAGCTCGAGTGATGTCCTATATGACCAATAGGATCACATCAGGACATACTCATTCAACCCTAATCCTGACCATGTTATTTTCAGCAATCCCTGTGATCTGATGTGGTTTAGTAGCAAGCAGCCAATCTTGAGTTTAGGGAGGAAAATCCCTTGACAATATCACACCAAAATCAATCAGTTTATCCCATATGCTCTGGTTGTCGAATGTCAATGTTTCAAGACACAAAAAGCATATGTTGACTAAGAATGGTATACTAGTCAGGTCTTGGAGTTGCCCGTTAGTGTACAGGATTCAGTGAATGGTAGCCGCCCTTTGGTCAAATACAAGTCTGTGTAGACTCGATTACTAAACTTGGGATAAATAGATGGGACGACACAGTCCGGTTCAATTGTGAGGCGTGTTGTAACCTTTCATATAGCTTGTGACAACCACAAAACTTTCGTGTAATTACCAAAATAGTATATCCATATGGATAGTGCTTTGACAAACTTTACTGTTACTCCTTGTCGAGTATAAAACATGCAAGCAGTCCTATTTTGAAAACTATACCGACACTGAAATTGATATACTAGAGCCGATTAGCACATTTCAAACAATACAGCATAATGAAACTTGTTCAATTGAATATTCTTCTTGGTGTTTCTAGCATGGCTCTTGCAGCCACTCCTGCTATTAATTCAGAACATGAATCTCACTTGCAGCGTCGTGCACTAGAATTATCAGAACAAGATATGCATCTGTTTGCTCGCTCGCCTATACCAGTAATCCCAACAGCACAAGGAATAGCGGATGGAGGAACTTTGTCGGGAATACAGCAAAACCCAACAAACGCTGTGCCTGGAAATTCAGGTCAATCAATTTGGACTCCGGAGTTGAAAGCACGAATAAACGGTCTGGCAAATATAGGAGGCAAAGCAAAAGAATCCATAGCCCAGGCTGAACGAAATATGGGTAGTTCGGGTCAGCCACTTTTGAATTCACAACAAAAAGCAAGTTTAGAAAAAATATCACTGGATGGGCAGAGACTAAAACGGATCATAGACCACGTTGATAAAACGGGAGTCCGTTTAGGACAACCTTTAGGCAGTTTGGGATTTTCAGATCTGAGTCCAAAGACAAGGGCAAATCTAATAAACTTGGAAGGAGCGAAAAGGCGACTAGAAGAAAATGTGAACAGAGTCATTCAGAAGGTGCCCAAATCAAAGCAACAATCAGGTGGTTCAAAATTGCCAGAGCGTATAAGCCCACAAATGAAAGAAAGAATAACAAGCTTGGAGCAACAGATGAAAGGACGTAGTGAACCAGGAGATGGTGTGGTCAAAACTAAACAAGATAAACACAAGCCGTCGCAACAATCAGGTGGTTCAAAATTGTCAGAGCGTATAAGCCCACAAATGAAAGAAAGAATAACAAGCTTGGAGCAACAGATGAAAGGACGTAGTGAACCAGGAGATGGTGTGGTCAAAACTAAACAAGATAAACACAAGCCGTCGCAACAATCAGGTGGTTCAAAATTGTCAGAGCGTATAAGCCCACAAATAAAAGAAAGAATAACAAGCTTGGAGCAACAGATGAAAGGACGTAGTGAACCAGGAGGCAGTTCGAAATTGCCAAAAAGTGAAAAAAAAGCTTTACGCATGGAACAAAAGAAAGTTGCCAGAGCTCAGGTCATAGCACAAAAGAAAGTGCAACTTCCTACAACTTTTGGGAAAATGATGGGAAAGTAACAGATTTTAAGCTCAAATGACGATCTTTCAATCTAATAATAATAAAATTAGATTATTAGATTCAAACAAGATTGTTGTATGTGTTTGAATAGTGATGTTTAACTGCCATGAATCAATCTCGATCATTTGTAAAAATCAGCTTGTTTTTAATAAACTGTAAACCAACTTGCACTACACGAATGATAATGTCGTGCCTGAAAGTGTAGACTGACTTCCAGATGACAGTATACTATTAGTCTATTAACACTAACCAAATAATCATTACCAATACCAATACAAACTGTTTACATTTTTACAATATACTTTCATTTAATAAATTGTAAAAGCCATTACTAAACTTGAGCATTTAGTCTTGGTCACAGCTTTTTCCAACATAGATGCAGCAAATGTCCATGCGAGTGCATCCAGAAGTAGGTTTAGGACCACGAGTAGTGGTCAAAGGTGGAGGTGAACCGCTACCACATTCTGCTGGAACAGAGAAATCGTTTGTGTAATCTGCTGCATTTACTCCCAGACCACGTTTGGCGAATCCCTTCCAAATCTCGCACTTGTTGGCTCCATTATAATAGGCTGCATCGGACGCAATAATGGCATCACGAGCATTGACCAAGCTAGGACTGCATGGCTGATGCATCAATCCACCCATCACATTCTGCATAGCAACAATGTTGCCAGCCTTGCCCTTGGCATCGTAGAGATTGGTAGAAAATCCACTCTTGGTGACCAAGTTCCAGTAGACTTCCCAAAGCATGGCTGCCCACACTTTGCCAGCCTCGTGCAGCTCTGTGCGGGTTTAAGGTCGCCATATGTCAAAGGGTTGATTTTCATGTCCGTAGTGTAAGGATGCGAGCGAATACCTTTGAGTTTATTAATAACATACGCTCCAAGGATAACTGGCGTATCGGCTTTGTCGGATTCTTTGGCTGTTACAATTATGGCAAATATGTCGGACCAATCTTTGCTCATACCTCTAGTTTCATGGCCCGACATGCACAAAGGCGCCAAAGATCCACCTGTCAAACGAGTCGAAACACCATGACCATATTCTTGCAATTGAATCAATTGAATGAATTGGATCAATCATGTCAATCATGACAGTGACTGTTGATTATATTGACTGATTGTGTACAATTGATTGATACAAGTGATATGGATGCATCATTTGGTGTTGTTGAATCAGATCACTGCTTGATTCTGTCAATGTGATCAAATGGATTACTACAAAACTGTACATGCTCAAGTTGAATCAAGTATTGAATCGAGTATTGGATTGATATTTACACAACCACAATTACAACCACAATTGCAATCAGCACAGTCTGAATATTAGACATTTGAACATCACGTATCGAGTTGTGGATAAATGCGAGTTGGCATATTGGACTGTTTTTGTAGTTTATTAATGATTTGATTCACGACTGTTTGAATTCAAGGCTCAATATGGATTACAACTGGATTGTCGTTGTTTCCATTTAGGATGACAAATCTGTCAATGTGTTGATTGATTCCTAGTCCATTGACCAAATAATAATCAATTCCACCAGCAATAGTGTCCGTCACATTCGAGTTGTTGGGAAATACTTTTGATAGTTTTGGTTAGATTGAACAGTCTGGTTTAGTCAAGTAAACCAATATCTCCATAAACATGTGCTGTGAAGTTGTTTCATTTGGAAAACCGCATGACGAAACAGATTCCAATACATTGGTCGACATTGATGAGACAACATTGCGTATGAGTTTTTGAACAGACAAATGCTGTGATGGAAAGCAGTTTGTGAATGTCCATTTGAATAGTATTTTTTGACCAACAGCAAAGTAAAAGCAAGTTCAAGGTCGGACGACTCCATCAATATTCCAGCCTTTTGAGTGATGAATAAGATTCCATATTTTGCTGGGTTTCCAAGTTGTCCAATCGATGATTTTTGTCAGACATTTCTTGAGTAACAGTTTAAAACCATTTCCAACAGATCTGAATGGTCGCTTCCAAAACAACGAGTCATACCCAACATGGAATTGTTTGATAGACAGTATTGTAGTAGATTTGCTCGAGTGGGTTCAATGTTGTTTAGACATTGTGTTTTTAGATCATCAATCGACACACACAGCGCACCAACAAGACCATCACATTCCGTTACAAGAACATGTTTCAAGGTCTCACTGTTCATGTTGTTTGGCAACCCAATAACGAGTAAATCCAGAAATTCATAGAATTCATGGAATTCACAGAGTTTGGCTGGAATAAGTAGAAAGTCACTTTTCAAGACCTGAAAGACTACCGAGTTCAACAGGACTTGAAATTCCTCCAACAAAAAGATGGTTTGATGCAATGATAAATCGCATGCTTAATGGCAACCAACTCAGCGATGCTTTGATTAAAAGTCTCCATAAACTTGTGTCTTGTAATTACTGTTGAGCATCATCAAGAAACAACAGTTTTACTTTTTCCAATTCTATCCGTTGTTGTTTGGAACAATCAATGCATTCCCAACAAAAGTGTCGTGCAATCTTGTCCAAGAAACAAATCCAAATGACATTTGTTTGAGACTATATTGATACATATTAATGAATATAGGTTTTGCAGAATCAGATGAACAAGTCAATATGACAAACCGATACTCAAACCAAGTATACGAGTTTGTCAAGTTGATCAGGTCTTTTGAGATGATTTGTAGAAACATTGATACCATTGATCTGGATAGTTTTCTTGAAAGAATTGTATGAACCAGTGATTGTTGGGTTTGAGCCAACATCATTCTTGGATTTGATGATGAGTGGACTGGATCCAACAGTCCCATTTGTCCCAAGTGCAGCAAGCGAGTCCCATGCGTTGTAGTTGATCTCGACTTGATCCACCAGAGTGGAGTGATGAGTTCCGAGTCAGTGTTACCGAGAAGCGACCCTGGTCTTGCTTGAAAGGCTGCAATTAGTGTTGAAACATCGTCAAGTGGCCTTTTGCTATCCAATTCTCCATCAAAGTGGGTTTCTATTTCCATTGGTTGGTTGTTGAGGTATTGAATGTAAAGTGTTGTTTTCCATTTAGTTTGTAAAAGAGACGAAATTGGACTTTAAATCCAAAATTTAATGGCGTGTGAAGAATGAGACAAATTCACACTTTGAATTAAGCAATTTTGTGTGAAATTAAAACTGTCAAATTAAACATTTGTCATGTGTTTATTTGTATTGTTTAATAAAGTGTCAATTCAACTCAATTGATTACGTCATTCATATAATGACTCGAGTCTTTTATTCAACATTTTAATATTCAATTATTGTTAATCAGTCAATTGTTGGATTGGTAAATGTGTTACAAAACATTCATTTATATGCTGAATCTGACAAGTGGATAATGATTGTTCCAATCAACACATGGATTGAATTGACTGCAATATTGTCATTGATTGCAGTCACTGTTGACCAATACATTGTAATACATTGACAGTCTCGACATCAACATTGTCATTCATGCCAAGTTGTGTGTGATTGCCAACACCACACCACAACAATAATGTGCCAACTTTCGAGTCCTGTGATACACCGTTTCGACTATAACCGGATCGAGGTTGATTACTTGTCAATACACGGGTCAGTTGTATAATCGTACAACTGTTGGTTAACCAATGTTTGACTGTCAATATTTGAATCATGAATATTGTCCAACATTTCATGACACCACCTGATACATTCAACACATCACATATGAATACACTGCATATACAAACGGTAGCAATGACCAATCCAAACCAACAGTGACAGAGTTACTCATCAACATATACTCGATCATCAGTCGACTCTGCATATATCAACTAGTTGCGACACGTCATAATCAATGTGGATTGTATTGTTCACCAATCGATCATGACAGCTAATCCAATACCAATCATGTAGTCAATACAATCACCAACATATCCATGACTGTTGACTTGCGGTTACAACTCGTCAATTGCATCCAATGTTACAGGTGATGCACATCTGATTACTGCAAATCAACAACTTGTCAATCATATCATAGTGTGTATTGCCAACAGACCATGCAATTACAAATCAATGTATACGTGATTAACATTTGATATTTGATGGTGATGAGTCAACCATGATTGATTGTATCATACAACTAATACAGTTGCATTGTCTGGTATTGATGATTGACCCATTCATGTCAAACAATAACTAATGTGTGTATATCGAGTTTGTGTTGCATGGACACATCAAGGTGTTTGATAACGAGTCCAACGTGATGATACAGACCCAATATTATATGAATATACAAGTTGATGAATCAAGTCGAGGTTTGCAAAGTGTCGATATGTCAGGTCAACCAAACAAGTCAGTCAACCATTATATTGTGACTAGTGATGGCACGGTTTGAATGTCAACGAGTTAGACAGTCGACAATATCGGTGATTGTGATTTGGTCAAACTGCAACACTTGCATATCACTGAGTCGGTTTGGTGTGTGTGATGTGTGTGGTGTAAGCAGTATGCATAAACTCGTCGATATCATGGACTATAACCAATATACACCACATATACAGTGGTAAACACCAACGTGTGGTGTATTCAGTGATCGTATATTGGTCGATTGGTGCAATATGATCATGTCACATACTATTGTATTGGCGACAATGTGATGTTGAACAGATGAGATCTCGAATGTTTGCAGCATAAATGGAGTGGATGTACAGCATTTATTGTGTACCATCATGTAATGATATCACCTGTAATATATTGTGTAGCGACATCATAGTGCGACAATATACTCTGGTCGCTAACCCTGATATCAGGGTTTAAATCAAGCAATGGGCAATTGTATAAAGGGGATCCCTTTAAAGCCAAATTGACATTTATAGCAGTAAATCAATGCTAACCCCGACAACACAAATCCCTTAGGACGGTCATTCAAGGAATATGCTTTTAATATTATCAATCTAATAATGTATACAAATATGTCACCAAACCGACGTATTGAGCAACAATCATTACAACTTGCCTAACCAAACCAATACAATGAAACTATCAATTGCCGTACTGTCATCAATCCTTGCTATCTGTTCGGTTACGATTGCCAATCCAGTTGATCCCAGTTCGACCATGAGTGCTGAAGCTAGCACTCCGACAGCCTCTTCAAGCGGAGCTTCAGCTGATGGATCTGACTCTCCAAAATCTCTTAGCTTATATAAATTTAAGAAATATTGCGGTCAACTCGATGCTACTGAAGTGTCGTTGATCGAAGAAATTGCAAAAGCTCGGCTTAAATCCACGAAAGTGTTTAGACTACTTGAAGACGGACGCTTTGAGGCTGCTATTCAAAAAGGATTGTTTGTTAAAGAGAAGGAAAAGATCGATAGTATGAGTCAAGTTCCGAGTCGGAAATTGAGTTCTGTTAAAGCCAATCATGAGGAGGTTCGTCAATATTGTGACAGAGCCAGACGTAATGCAAGTTATTACGCTTCGAAACTTTCGCATAAGAGGAAAGAAATTAGAAAATTAACAAGAAAACTTACAAGCCATTCTTCGTTTGGAATATCACCGGATGGTGGTGAAACACCGAAATCAGTTTACGTATATGAGAGTTGCCTTAAGTATTTCTACAATCGCTTGTCACAATGCTTGCCACAATCCGAGCATGGTGCAACTTTCCAAGATTCTGGTGTTCAACAACAACCTTCTCAATCATAGACTCGTCACATTGTTGCAACTCAAAATGGGCCATCATCCAGCATATGCTGTAATGCAGCGTATATTGCATGTTGGTTTACTTGTCATTTGTCATATACTCGATGTCGTTCATTCAATAAACATCGTGTATTGCCAAACCATAGTGTATTATATTTATGGTTTGATCATATTGCACCAATCAGCTACTATGCATTGTATTGATCACTGCAGTGTCATTGCTGAATCCATGCGATTGTGTATATTTGTCATTTGGGGTTACCAGTCAACCCATTCCATTTGACACCAACTCATTGGTATCACTGGACTATTTGATCCAAATGATACGAATGATCCGGTTGGTTTTGATAATTTGACAGTATCCACAAACCCATGTTTAATATTCGCACATATTCGCGCATATTCCATTGACATACTACAGACTGACATTGAACGTCACATCACATTGTTTTTATTAATGAATATAGGTTTTTATTGTAAAAGTAAAACAAACTAAAAGATACGAGTCTTTCAATATGTATAATGTAATGTAATTTGCTGCTATACAAAAGATTGGTCAAAAGAGAGCTTGGACGATAATCAGGAAGTTGTCAATGAGTTGAATCAACAAAATAGATATGAGATTAATAAATAGTTTCAGAGTTATTTGAGAGGTTATTTTATTTGATCTTGGATAAATTAGGGAGTGTACAATGCAAGTACTAGTGCTTGCTTGTTAATGATTAAAGCTTAGAGATATCCTGCTTGGGTATTACAACAGATACACACTAATCATTTGAACTGTACGTAAACGGTCAATGTCTGATTGCTTTAACATCAGAAAGTTTAAATTTATTCAAAATCAAATTTATTGGCACATCATCAATCTGAATCTGCTTTCGGTTCTTGAAATTCTAAACCATGCCTTTTCATATACTTTTTCAATTCATTTCTGACACTGCGTACTCTATTCCTTGCAGCTACATACTCTTGTTTCAATCGGATTTCATCCTTTAGACTGTGTTTTGATTCGGGTATTTCTTTCCCTCTTGATAACGCCGACCATTGTTTTAATCCAATTTCTGCATAATTATGATATTCTTGGCGTTTTTTGTTTCGTATTTCTTTAGACAACTCGAGTCTTTTTCTCAAGCGATCAAAGGTTCTCTGATATTTTTCTTTCAATATAATCATTCGACTTGAACTAGTACTGGCAGAATCAGCTTCGTTCATTGGTTGTTGCTGGTCTTGGTTGGAAGTGCTTTGACTGGGTTGATCAATTGGGTTTTGTTGGTCTTGGTTGGAAGTGCTTGAATTGACCTCATCCGTTGAGTATTGCTGATTTCCTGGAATGTTTGAATGAATTATATCCATTATTTCTTGCCAGTCATCGTCGGGAATTTGTGGAATAGGCTCATTGGTTGGGACAGACACTTGGTTGAAAATGTCTGAACTGAGCTCATCAATTGGTTGCTGTTGGTCTTGGTTGGGTTTTTTTGAATGAATTATATCCATTATTTCTTGCCAGTCTTCGTCGGGAATTTGTGGATTAGGTTCATTGGTTGGGCCAGATACTTGACTGAAAGTGCCTGATGCTTGGAGTGAACCATCGTTACCAGCCGATATCAGTATTGCATTAGCGGTTGCTGCCACGCTCAGTACAAGTAAAATATCAACCAATTTCATCAGATTGGTCAATGGGTTTAAACTATTAATACAAAAACAGAGTGTCGAGACTGGTGTCGATTATAAAGCTGAACTCAATCGATTGTATTTGTATGTTTTATATAGCAAACCAACCCTAACCCTTTTAGGTTAACCAATGACACAGGGTTACTTGATTGCTTGTAGTGAGCAACTATCAAACTAGACAGTATGTTACTCCCTATTCATAATATCATATTGATTGATTTGATGATCATGTCGATTGAATTATGCTTTTGCGACCCTTTGATCAGGTATATTGAAAAGCACCCTCCAATAGTGTTGTTTAGCCGCAAACGCTTTGATTTACAGCCATATTCATGTAAAATGGATCACTTTTATATTCATTCTGCAGTGACTTTGATTTGAGATATACAATGGTTGCATGTTCGGTTGGTTGATGCTACACATTGACTGCATGTTCGATATACAACAATCATCACACGACACACAATCACCAAGTTTGAACCCACATTCATGTATTGTGTTTGACTGTCAATGTTGTCAATACAACTCTGTACACATGTGTTGTGTCCATCACCATCCAACTCAATATCACCATTTCAATCAATCTTGGTCAATGTTGATGATTTACACGCTAATTCATTATCCAATCTTGTCTGACATTATTATTGGCTTTAATCACGTTTGGTTTGTACAACTGCCATGATTTGTACTACCATTATCATCGTGTATCTGAACACCAAGTATTCCAATACATCAATAATACCACAGTGTAAACAGTAATACAGTTGATCAGTATTGTGGCAAGACTTTTCATTCAAGTTTGTATTTGGAAATACTCGATACTGAGCAAATGATCGATTCTGTTGTACAAACGGGTTCATTAGCAGTGAATGGGTAAACGACCAGACTGTTTACAATGCAATCAAACTAAATACATACAATACTGCCAATCTATGCAACAAACATGTATCAACCAAAATAACAGACGTTTCTAAAACCAACCCGTGATAAAGGACGGATTGGGCTGTCATATATATGGCTGCATATCTACCAAACAGATCCAGACCGTACCATTATGCATGATATTATCCTGTTGTGGCTCAGTTATATCCGCAACATTGTGTCTAGTACACATCCAACCCTCAACGTGCCAGAATAAATTGAAACCACTTGCCAATAGATTCATGGCGCTGTACTAGCGTATACGCTTGGTCTGATGGTGACTAGCTGTATGCCAAACATGAGAGCATCTAGCAACTAACCCTAGATGTTGTGCACATTTGGTGAATACAAGTACAGTTGGATGTCACGGATAGCAACAATCGACATGACAGTGGACACTATTGGACATGTACACTGCAATATGACTGTCAGCAACCATCACCATCAGTGTGTATCATGTGTTTAAAAAGTACTCGCATGCATTGGATTCAACACCACGTTTGTGATTGGGTTTGATTGGATTGTATTGGTGGTGTTGTTTTGCATATATCAGTAGATTGTGTGCTGATTTGAATGACATGATCATCCATTGTGGTTCATTTACACGATGACAATCTGATCTGTTGACACGGCCAGTTTGTTGAACGACCTGCCAATCTCCAATTCAATTATAGTACAATGTCACTCATTCGGTGTAGCGACGACAGATTGCCGAGATTGATGTTGATCATGTTGTGACACAATCATCAGTGTTTGATGTGTACAGTCTACATTAATCTAAAATGACTGTGCAGTCATACCAATGGAAAAGTCATGGTTTTGAAATACTGCAACAACAGACTGTTGGATGCTGTTGTGTCCGAGTGATCCAAAACATGACCAATTGAACAGTCAGTCAAATATTTGGTACACAGTGACAGTATATGCTGTGGTAATGGATTGTATATGTGATGATAACTATCCATGATCAGGGTAATGATCTGACACTACCTGATTATTAAATACATCACCGCAATTGGAAATATCAACACAGCATACTAGTGAAGTTGATTTTCCACCAACAACGATGCTTGTGTATTAATCCACCCTACAGTGTGATTCTGGGTTTGTTAACCCTACATGGTGTACTTGTGTTTTCTCAATACCCATTTGGGAACTGCCGATTGTCGCCCTTGAAGCTGCCGTCATTATAAAATGGCAGTCATGTATCAGATTCACGACACTTTCATCACACTACTCGATACAATGTTGATCACTCTAGAATGCGTTATACTTGCGTTACAGGCGGTTGCTGCAGTTTGACTTGCATTAGAATCACCTTTTGAAATTGACAGTCAATCAAACAATAGGCTATCAAAACGATCACCCGTTGTGTTGGGTGGTAGTATCATAAAATGCTACACAATGAGATCCAATGTTGATGGAGTCAATGTATGTATCATGTCATGCATTGTAGTTTGATATCAATTTGTACCACGTTTAATCAATCTCACTCGTTTAAAATAGTTGGATTTACGAGTTGATTCATCAGTTTTTGATATAGTGGTACCACTTCCTAGTTTAAGCAACGATGTAGGTTCGACTCCAGAAAGTATTTCAAGTGGGTAACCCGTTACTATAAAGTACAGAGGCGATGAGTATAATGGAATCAGTTCCACAGCCGTTGTGAAGATTTCGGGTACTAGGATAACTGGCATCAATCTACCAGTACTAGCAGTTGAAAAAAAGTCGGCAGGTCTGGTTGGTATTGGTGGAAACCCCGATCAAGGAGTATTTGGAATTGGCTACTCCTCGTTGTCAAAACATCATTCACAAACCACTGCAATGGATGCTTTGTACAACAATGATGTCATTCCCAATAACGAGATTAGTCTTCAATTGTGTCAGTATGACATGTTGCAGGAAAGTTTCATCAATATAGGAAACACGGATATAACTGCAAAATGCGGAACAGATGGAACAAGTGTTGCATGGGTAGACTCACCATCAAATGATCGCCATACTGTCTCTTGTTCATTGACGTATAGTGACATATTTATGTAGTATAAGTTTGAAGGAAGATCACAGAGATGTAAGATAAGAAGAAGGAATGAATCAGAATAGTCGTGATTATTTATTGATAAGAGAACTTTGTCTCTTATATATAGTAAGTAGTAACGGTGAATTAGTGACGGTATAAACGCCACTCCTAAGCTTCACCGTTAAGGGTTCCCAAGCGTTACAGTCATTGCATAGAGTGAGGCAACGGTCATCACCATATCTAAGCATTGTATAGCTTACTTGTTTATACACTGCTTGTTACTAGACCCCATCCTGACTGTCTGGGTCCTATTACAAATGTCATACATTACCAATGTCTAACACTGTCAACATCAAGAGTATACTAATCGATGGCAAACCAGTGGAGCTGCCCGAGAGATTTCAGCAAGTTGTGGAAAATGGACGTACTTTGTACTCATATCTACATACATGCTTTTTATACATAGTTTTGCCTGAAAAAGTCGTGGCTACGTTGATCAATGCTATTCTTGATAGTGGTGCGATCCTTGTCAAAAAAACTAAATCCGAACACAAGCACAAGCTCAGCGAAACAGAAATTAAAAAAATATTTTGGGAAAACCGTCTAATCCTCAAATCCAAACTTAGTATCGATTGGGGCAAGCTGCCGTCGTTTTCAATTACAATGTTTGCTCAAAACCCAGTAACTTATGACAATAGCAACTCCGTTGTAACAATCAAATTGGGTCCTAGAGACTATCTACAGAGATATGATTCTAAACATGGTAAATATCTGACAATTGTATGTAATATGTTGTTTGATTAACCTGACTAATATACATGTTGGATTATAGTTAGATTTACTGTAAAAGCTGGTTCAAATGACAAAGCAGCTCTTGGTATACCATTTATGACCCGACTTGGATTGACATTTGATCGACAAAATAAACGCATTGGGTTTGGTGCTGTATGTGGATGCGAAACTATGACTGATGGATATCCTACTATTTCAAACGGTGATCAAGTGCTCTGGTCATTACCACGGTAAGCTGCTTGATATTGATATTGATGTGTCAATTGATACTGATTATGAATTTGATGTATACTGTTAGATTGCCTGAACGACCAAGTACTTCAGGTTCAGATGGCACATTTATTCGCAAAAGGAAACCAACAACTACAACTGATCAAGTAGTCGTGCCTGAAAAAACTCACCACGCTGTCAACAGTCGCAAACAGACTCTCAATAAACTCGATTGAATACAATTCATTAATGACAAACTGCTACTATATGTATTTTTAATGTGGTGTGTCCATGTTTGATTGTGTGATATGTTCAAGCCGTGCATGTATTGTATCAGTCTAGTGTGTATCGTAGTTGTTTGATACACGATGGTCACGCATACTATTGTATTGGTAATACATGGTATTGATTGAATACACATCATGATCGCACAGCTCGATCACGATCCAATTGACATGAACAGTCGAGTCGTGTAGTTTGGGTTCAGCTTGACACATTTGTATTGCCAATCTCGGACAAAACATCAAAAGTGAATCAAGATCAACTGAAACAACCAACAGACTGGATCCAGTATGTGTAGTCACGCTGGGTTGCATATACTGATTACAGTAAACAACTTGAGTATCATTTTACTGGTTATGGTTATGGTGACATGCCAGTGTTTGATACATACAGCGTTACAATGATGGATCAGCAACAATGTGATGGAACTGGATGCGTAATACCAAAACCATGTCCAGAATACGTGATATAACGACAACTTGCAGCCATATTGATGTAAATGGACCACTAAATAACAGTGTTGGTGTGTGATAAACAGCTGCATTACTGACATGTGTCATGATTGTTGTTGAACTAGATCGTGATCGTATCTGTGATTCAGAATACAACAAATGTGCAGAGTTGTATTGATAACATTGACAGTCAAACACAATACATGAATGTGGATTCAAACTTGGTGATCGTACAATGTATGATTACTAAGAGTGCACAAAGTGTAGATTCAACACTATAGTCTGATTGTGTGTCATATGATGGTTGTTGTATATCAAACACGCAATGCAGTCAATGTGTAGTAGAAACCAACCGAATATGCAACCATTGTATATCCCAAATCAAAGTCATTGTATGATGAGTACAGTTGTAAATCAAAGCGTTTGCGGTTAAACGACACTCCTGAAGGGTGTGCTTTTCAATATACCTGATCAAAGGGTCGTAAAAGCATAATTTAATCAACATGATCATCAAATTGATCAAATTGATATTGTGAATAGGGAGCAGCATACTATCTAGTTTGATAATAAACCACTATAAGCAATCAAGTAACCCTGTATAGTCGGTTAATCTAAAAGGGTTAGGGTTGGTTTGCTATACAAAAACATACAAATACAATCGATTGAGTTCAGCTTTATAATCGACACCAGTCTCGACACTCTACTTTTGTATTAATCGTTTAAACTCATTGACCAATCTGATGAAATTGGTTGATATTTTACTTGTACTGAGTGCGGCAGCAACCACTAATGCAATATTGATACCGATTGATAACAATGGTTCACCACAAGCATCAAGCACTTCCAGTCAAGTGTCCAGCCCAACCAATGAACCTAATCCAGGCACTTCCGACGACTGGCAACGTATAATGGATGCAATTGATTTAAGCCTTTCGGACCAAGACTGGCAAGAAATAATTGATCCAATTGATTCAAACACCTCTAATGAAGACTGGAAACTCATAATGAATGAAATCGGTTTAAGCACTCCTGAAGACTGGCAAGAAATAATTGATGCAGTCAATTCAAAAAATTATGACCAAGACCAACAACAACTAATGGATGAATCCAGTCCAGACATTTTCGACCAAGACCAGCAACAATCAATGGGTCAACCCAGTCAAAGCACTTTTGACCAAGACCAACAACAACTAATGGATGAATCCAGTCCAGACATTTTCGACCAAGACCAGCAACAATCAATAGATGTAGCTAATTCGAGCACTTACAAAGAATACTGGAAACGATTATCTGATATAATTGATTCAAGCACTTCCAAACGAGGTCAAAAACGACCAATTGATGAACTGGGTCCAAGCACTTCCAAACGAGGTCGGAAACTCATAACCGATGAACCCATTCCAGACATTTCTAGCCAAACTTCTGGTTCAACCAGTGAGCCCAGTCCAAGCACCTTTAGCCAAGCGTCTGGTCCAACTAATGAACCCAGTCCAAGCACTTCTGACGAATATTGGAAACCATTATTTGATATAATTAATCCAAATATTCCCAGTCAAGATCAACAACAACCAATGAACGAAGGCGAGTCTGCCAATACTGTTACAAATCAAATAGCTGGGTTAAGCCGAAAATTTCAGAGAACCTTTGATGGTTTAAAGAAAAGATTTGTAGCGTCTAAAATAATACGAGACAAAAAACTCGAAGAATATCGTAAATACATGGCCCTTAAATTCGAACAATGGTCAGCGTTAGCAAGGGGAGAAGAAATATCAGAGTCAACGTACGATCCAGACGCTGAAAAGAAATTGAAACACGAGTATGAACAGGCAAGGAAAAGAGTACCCGATATCAGACATAAATTGAAAGCGTTTATCAGAAAGCATGGTTTGAGATTGGAAGAACCGAATTAAGATTGATGATGTGTCAATGAATTCAATTTTAAATAAATTTAAACTTTCTGATGTGTTGGTATTTGTCGAGTATTGTGAATGGATCAACAACCATATCATTGATTGTGTATTGTGTTGGGTATTACATCAACAGTTACTGGTTTGTTACATATACATCAATGACATGATAACAACCAGTGTTATTTGTAACTATCAGCCATACTTACAATCATTTGTCAGTTGCATGATACCACCAACTGACCATGTCGTGTATTGTACAACAAACGGAGCAATACACTTGTTCAAAATCTGTCACAAGCAAAATGTGTTTGTCATGTCACTGTCAATGTTGGAAATCACAACAGACAATGTTTGATTGAAGGATTTAACACCCCATTACAAAACATCATTGCCTTTTATCAAGAATATACTAAAACTAACCAATACGTTAATGTCTTGCAATATATTGTGTTTGACTACAATCACATCCATCATTGTGCAGTTGGTGATATTGCTGAATCAAGATATGAAAGTGATCCATCAAGTGGTTCAATTAAAACAAACACTGCAAACTATTCAATCAATGTTGGAAATTGTGTTGGAATACTGAATGGACAAACCTTTGAGTAAAATACAAGTCAATATACAGTAATGCTGTGTATACTATGTATACTGTGGTCAGTGGAAATCATTACTCGTATCCAATTTAAAATGATGATCAAATAATTCAGACTTGCAAGTATTATGAATTTGAACACATCCAAATTGCTGAAACGTTTGTTACTGAATCTAGAAACCCAGATCCAACAATGACAAATAAGCAGTGTCAAAACAGAAATCAATTGGATGCATTATCAACAATTAGTGAACCTGAAAACATACGACATATGACATATGACAGGACATTTCAAACAACTTGTTTTCTAGAGCAACTATAAATGCCATTCATTGACTCGATCAAAAACTACAACAATTACTTGCAATGCATCCAAATTTGGCATCAAAATTTGACATCCATATCCAGTTCAACAACAGAAAGCGTCAAACAAGTGGTATCATGATTACTATTCACAACAACAAGCAAATTGGACAACAGCGCTGTCGCAACTATTATGCTTTAAACTCGGAATCAGAAACGATGCAACTGAAAAAAGTACACAAAGTCGACGAGTATAGTTTATTGAATCATTCAACACCAATATCGTGTACTTGAAAATCAATGACATCAATTCCACCATCTACCAGAAACATGTTTGTTGCGGTGTGTTATTTGATGTGAATTTTGCACCAGTATGTTCATGTCTGATACAATTCATGGCTGTTATTGGACTTTGTACGACTGAACCATTGTTCAAATGTGATGATGTTTATGCCACTGTTGTAAATCGAATGGGTGCATATTGAAATACACGATATTGTTGTAATAGATTGTAGTATGTCTTGTATGCAAAGTACGACAATCTCTCGAGTTTGAATTCATTGTAAATATACACCAGAAATTCATCAAACTGAACCTTTTAGTATTTTTGCTTGTTTGAAATAGCTCCAGCAAACAAACAAGCGTTTCTGCAATGCACATTGTGTATGCTACACCAACAACATCATTGATGGTCAATACACACAAGTATTGTTGATGTACACTTTGAGTTCCAAGACTGTATTTTTTGTAGTGGGAAAGTCGTTGAAAAGTTGCACATTGAATTGAACTGTTTTGAGTTCCACTTTAAACTTTTGATTAGCAATCGGTTCATACTTTTGACAAGCTCATGTATGAATGATGGTTTATCAATGTTTTTATCAAGACACGGTAAATTGGTTCATGATCAATGATTTGAGTTGGTTTCAATGTTACTGCATTGATGACATTGAGTGTATCTGAAACAGCAACATCATCATTTGATTCGAGTTTCAAACGATAATTATTGACTGTGTTGGTCAAACTGCAGATTCACTGCTATTGGATTCAGACTCTGTAGCAAGACTTTCTGTGTGATGAAACAGCATCTGAAACTGCACCAATCGTTTGATTTCCAATAATATGAGCATCGTCCATAATAATATCATCAGCGGTTTGTGGTTCAGCATTTACCATTATACGAATCCAGTGAATATATTGATTATAGGTTTGTAAACAGAGGCTACAAGCCAGCAGTGACATCATTTGCAGACTTTTGGTTTTGAAAGCATTCATAATTTCTGATATGTTACTATCATACAGCAAGGCACATTGCAGTTGCTCACTTTGTCGACTTTTATTGGCAACCTATTATGTACCAGCCACAAATCTGATATTGCAGACTTGTAGATGCTTAAAAATGGGTTTTCAAATTGACTTTTGAATTTGAGGATCGTGGACATATGATGGCATATTGATGGTTGTCATTATTGTCAAGTGTGTTGCAGTTGATTGAAGATGTGATGGAATGAATCAATATTTGATTGTGTTGTTTATTAACAAGTGAGTGAGTGTGTTTATAAAATGGAAGAAACCAAGAAAGTCATGTGAATTCCAGTTCAAACGTCATTGTTGATGGTTTTTGATTGTTAAACTATTCAGAAATGTCTCACATTCACACACTACTAATGTCTCACACAATGCAAGTCAACACTCTCACACTAGTAATGTCTCACATTAATGAGACATTAATTCTGGTGTAAATTTGACTAATTTCCAAATATTTAAATCGTGTGAATTGTCTTGAAATATCCCAAAATTTTGTTATTTTGACTCGATTAAAAAGTCGATTTTTGTTTTACAATTTGACAAATAAATTGCTTTTTTACTCTTTTTCTTTTCATAAAATGCCAAAACGATTCCTCAATGTTGAATATGGCACTATTTCTACTGAAATCAATGTGACTGACTTTGAAGACCCGAGTGACGTTCAGGATGCTATCAAGGCAGAGTATGGTCCTGTTATGGCTGACATTGATGCTCCTCAACTCCAACTATACACCAACACCAACAAGGACCAACTAATCAACACCTGGGCTTTATTCAGCTCTCTTCCTCAATAATACTTTACTCAAGGAGGCTCCTGTGTTGTTATTGGTTGTTTACCACTACCTCCAAGACAACCTACTCAAACTTACCTAGGTCCAACATCTGCAGCAGCCTCAACCGCACTACTGGATTTTTGGACTGCTTTCACAAACTACCCTAACCCTCTTGAAGGAAACACTGTTGTCCAACTTCCAACAGACATATTCATTCTTGGAAACCATTCAATCGGATCATCCATTTACATCCGTCCTTGTTATCCTAAACTTTTTGAAAAATCACTATCTATTGTGCAATCTGCTGATATATGTCATTTGATCATCCTTGGAAATCCTGGAATTGGCAAGACATATTTTGGTTACTTTTTGCTGTTGCATCTTGCTCGCTCTGGTGCTACAGTCGTGTATGAGAGTGGAGCCGATCAAAAAAGATATCTGCTTACTCCCAATGGTGTACTCGAAGGAGGAAAGGATGCTTTTTGGAAAATCTTGGATTCCTCGTCAAAATTCTACATTGTTGATGGCTCGGCACCTGTTGATGTTGATGCCAAGACCATTCTTGTTACTTCACCTCGTTGGGAAATTTGGCATCGGTTTTCCAAGGGGTCCTGCGACATTCGGTATATGCCAGTGTGGTCAAAAGAAGAATTGCATTCCTGTCGCTCAATGCTGTTTCCTACAGTCCCACAAGAATTGGTTGAAAGTCTGTATTTGAAGTGGGGAGGAATTGCTCGTTATGTTCTTAAATATGCATTGGTAAAAGAACAACAGGATTTTCTCGTCAAAGCTTTAAATATTTCCAATATCGATTCAGTTGTCAAGTCTTTTGGTAAATATGGTGAAAACCTAGACGCTTCAAGTTGTTTGATTCATATATCAGTCAAGGATGGCTTCCACAGTGGTCCTTATCAGTTTGCTTCTGACTATATGGTTGATGAAATTTACAACCGTGTCTATGCCAGAGACCGAGATCATCTTATCAGATTCGTTTCTGTCACTCGAGAAATTGGTGAAACTGGTCAACTTAATAGGGTATTATTTGAAAAGCACGCTCATACAGTCATCGCTAAAGGTGGTTCATTCAAGATTCGTGATTTACGTACCAAGCTGGAGTCTACACTTCAACTGCCAATGGATCTTACTACTTTGTTATTCTCCAACAATTCTCAAGTTCAAAACGCAACGAATTGCTATTTCCGTCCCATTAGCAATACTTTTGAATCTGTTGATTCGTTCATCAAGCCAAATCTACTTTTCCAAATGACCGGTGCCAAAGATCATCCTTGCAAACAGACTGGGCTTTGTGATGTTTTGGAAATACTTGGTAATCCGTCAAAACCAGAACTGTATTGTGTTGTACCTCCTGATCGTTTTGCCTGTTTTACACACCAAAGCTACCACGGAACAGATGGTCAAGTGTTGTCACAAAACGATACTATTGCGAGTGTTGAGAAGTTGACTCGATTTGTTTTGACGTTTGAACCATCTCATCAATAAGGTATGTAGATTATAATCAATGATATTTATTGGCCGCATAACGCTAATCCTAACTCTGTTTCTTGACCTCGTTCTACACAATACACGGCGTTTGATTTCTTAAAGGTGAATAATATCGTATGGGTTCCATCGGACAACAAACCTCACTTTGTGGAAATGACCACTTTCATTGTCAGGAACTTCCCAGTCGTGTAATTTAATCGCTTTGGTTTTGAAACCTATAGTTTCTTGTAAATAATTGCAGATCCCAAGACTGTTTTTCACCATACAGTTTTGAAACTAATATTTTGATTCAAGAACAAACTGCGTTTTCCTTTTTCTTTTGCAAATAAAAGTTGTTTTGTTGCTTACAATTATGGTCAATCAATTGACTGCCAAACCGTACAACAGTTTTGCTGACATTGGATTTGTCCGATCAATAGTCTTGGGTTTCAAACTTGAATCAAACTCCCAGCTGACAAAACACTGCAGGGATTGTTACAAGCACAAAAGCAGCTGTTTCAAGAGATGTTGGTATGATACAAGGAGTACCAGAAAGTATACTCTTACAAAGAATTGTTTGCAACTGAATTGAATCAAATAGCCATACGTGATAAACAGCGGGTTGATTGTGGCTTTATTTCCAATCAATGGTATTGACAAAACCAACCAGGGATGAGCCAGGATCAAGAGTTGGAGGCTAGACACAATTATGAGTAGAATATGCTAGAGTATCAAAAAGATGATCAAAGAAAGCGTGAAATTCAACAGATCAGCAATGATGTCCAAATGCATAGTGTAATCAAGCAAATTTGAATCCATTTTGGCATTGCAAGACACAATATCACATTTGGAAGAGTTGATTGGAAATATAAAGACTTGTACTCGATAAACACGGACTTGTCAGTAGTTTGATTTTATACTCTATCATTCTTACAACAAGATCCAGCTAAACCCAGTCTGTGTACATTAACACTTAGTACTGGTTAAAAAACTACCCATTGTATCCAATTTGAGGCATCAAGTATGAGTCTGGCACAAATAGCTCGTATTTATTATGAATTACAAGCAAAGCTATTGACTATTCTACCCTAATACTTTTGACTTGAATTCCTTTCTGCGAATAATTTATGTTTTGACAACTTTGTACATGATTTAGCAGTAAGTGTCGGTTAAAAAACTGTTATCATCGGGTGTTCTATCTATACTACTTTCAATCGATCGAATGTCAATATGTTTGTACAACAGTTTGGTACAACCGATTGTCCATGGATTATTATCACACGAGTCAATGCTGACCTGATTTGCGATATTCAGTGTTGTTGGAATATCAGCACAACATCAACACCAAACATCAGATCGACACTGCACGTTGATGTTGATGAATGCAACATGAATATTGAAACAATGCATCATAATGCGTACAAGTCGCAGATTGCAGTTCAAACTCAATGCAAAGTGCACATTGTTACAGTTTGGTCATGAACAAAGCGATACGCACAATGTGCAGTTCATGTCTACGACTCGACTGATTGGCAGACAACGACCATTTGCATTGTTGAACAGTAAACTGAACAGTAAATGACCATCAAACGCATGGCTTGGTATCGACATTCAAGCAATCACCATGATTGTAATATTTGCAAGTTGTCCACAAGTTGTTTACAAACGACCATCAATTGACAATGGCATGCATGTGCATGTGTATGGTTGACTATACAATACACTACATGAACCAATATTGCTGACTGAATACAGGTCACAACTGCGAGTATCCATGTGGTAATGGACTGACATTGGTGTTGATATTGAATTGATTGACTAATCGATCATCATCAATTGCATCAGTGATTGGTATATGCAACTGATATACACCATGTCCAAGTCTGATACATGTTGATACATGCGTGTCAATCAGCAATGCATATTTGTGGCCATTACAGTCGAATGTGAGTCGAGTCGATCACTAAACCAACGAATCAATGATTGCATTCTAAATGTAGTGCGATTTGATGCGACATGACAATATATTGTCCAGCAGGTTCAACATACACAACACCGATATCCAATACATTACACATGAATACACTGCATATACAAGCAGTAGCAATGACCAATCCAAACCAACAGTGGCAGAGTTACTCATCAAAATATACTC